GAGGAGGAGGAGGAGGATGAGGAGGAGGAGGAGGAGGAGGAGGAGGAGGAGGAGGAGGAGGAGGAGGAGGCAGCTGATGCCCAGACCCCCTTACTAAGTCAAGGCGCTGAAGTAAGGAACAGTTTGGGTTCGGAAGGGGCTCGACGTTCCTCAGGCTCCTCCAGTGCTGTTCCCCTTGCCCTCCTGGGGCACGGAGGCGCTTGCGGGGCCAAGAGGGGGCTGCGTTCCTTGTTCAGCGTTCCTTCTTCCAGCGGCCCGACGGTGGGGGCGCGCATCAAGAAACCATATGCTTTTCGTCAGGGTCTCCTCGGTTTCTTTGCTCCTCGCGCTGCGCGGCGACTTCCCGCGGCAGTTGGAGGAGCTGCTGCGTTCAGGGTGCTCCCTCCAGTGCACCTCGCGCGCGGGTTCTCGGGGTTGGGTTCCTCGCGAGGGTTTCTTGGGGCCGCGCCGGCACCGCATATGCCTTTTGTTCAACGCGGGGCCCCTGCAGGAGCTCTGGACCACTTCCCCGAGGCCAGCTCCTGCTCCTGGACGGCTCTCGCCACGGCCCCGGGGCCCGCGGCGAGGGCCCCCGGGGCGCCGAGGGCGGCGAAACGCACGCTCGCGTATTTCTCCTTGCGCTGGACCCAGACCCCCTCGAGCAATGAAAAAAACACGACGGGAGGTTTTTCACAACTTTTGGCCTTTGGGGGCCCTTACCGGCCCTCGGGACCGCCAAAGAACAACTCAGGACGAAAAACCGGTCCCAGGGAATGGGTCGAGACCTCGGGGGGTCGACGTCATGAAAAAATCATGACGTCGGGGGTCTGGGGAGGTCTGGGGGTCTTCGGCCCCTCTGGGAGGAGCCCGAGCCGTCCCCCGGCTCCGCCGGCCGCGCCGCGGTCCGCCGCCGCCGCCGCCGCAGCGGCGCTGTGCCGGCCCAGGGCGCCGCCGGCAGCGCCGTCGTGGCCGTGGCGCCCGGGGAGGAGGTGGCTCGCGGCCTTGGGGCGGGGGGGCTCACGGCAGGGGTCGGCACCCCTTGCCTGCGAAGGGGCGGGAGGAGGAGGAGTCGTCGGAAGGTGGAGCCTGCACAGGACCAGTGGCGGGCGGCTTTTCGGTCCCAGGATGTTTCTTGAGGGTCGGGGGCGACGTCGGGGCGGTGTGGTGTGTAATTACCTTTTTCCCCGCTTTCCCGGGGAAGCGGCGAAGAATGTACACACCAGGATCCCGTATACACCAGGATCATCCGCTGAACCTGCGCGAGATTCAGCGTGAGGCCAGAGAACGGCGTCGGTGTGTGTGTGTATATATATATATATATATAGAGCTCGGCTCCTCAATTCTGGACTTTGCGCTGGCGGGCATCAGTGTCACCAATGTCGAGGTTACAGGCCCCTGCGGAGCGCCACACGTGACCTGCCCCGCCCGCACGAGGGGGAGAGGGGCCGCGGGCCCCCAAAGCGCAAAGCGGCACAGCCACACGCGCCGCGCACGGGCGGGAGGCGGGAGGCGGGCGAGAGGGGGAATGGGGGAGGGGGAGACGCGAGAGGGGGGAGTGGCAGGCTCGGTGCGCTCGCGCCATGCCCGACGTCCTGATGACGTGTCCCTCCCTCCCATCCCTGCTGTTTGCGTTCGGTCCTCCTGTATCTGCCCGCATGCGGCTGCGCATGGGCTGCGGCAAGATCTCGACGCCCCCCCCCCCTGCCTGCCCCCTGCGTGTCAATGTCGGCGTCGGTGAGGCACCCCCAGTCCCGGAGAGCAGAAGGATGCAAGCTTGCACTGAAATGCGGGGGTGAGGGGGCTCCTCAGCGATCGAGTGAGTCTGATTCAAATCAGCACGCTGCTTCCCAGAGCGGTCAGAAAGCTGAACTGAACCACCGACTGAACCGAGGTCGTCATGCCGCAGGAAGTGCCCCGGCAGCAGCCCGCCTTCGAGGAGGAGCCGCCCGCTCCATCCGTGCAGCTGCTGCGCAGATTCATATGTACGAGTGGTGGTCGGCTGTTCGGAGGCCGTCTCGGGCGAGGGGCCCGTGTTCAAACAGGGCTGCTTACCGCCCGTGTAACTGCTGGGAGATGTTTATGCCGGCGTGCGCGGCGCGGACGGGAGAGCAAAGCTTTGAAGACCACCCGCCCTCCATCCGTGCAGGCGCGGGAGCTTCAAGCTGCAGGACCATGCGCGGCGAGGAAGTCTCCGGCGACCCGCCTGGCCCGCCCTGGCGACACGTCTGGTGGCGCGACGGGGATGCGATCAGAGAAACTATGGATTCAGTTTGTGTCGGGGTTTCGGTTTTCTGCTATGCCTGGCGGCCCATAGGGGCCAGACGGATCGCGAGGAGGCGGAGGAGGAGGAGGAGGAGGAGGAGGAGGAGGAGGAGCAGAAGCTCCCCACAGTACCGCCGGTACTGTGGGGAGCTTCTGGATAGCGCGCCGCTCCGCTAGTTCTGGCCCACCGCGCCTCGGCGCGATGCGCTGTTCGCATCGCGGTCCCCAGGCGGCCCCGCCCCGAGCCCTCTCCGAGCCC